CCATTAGTTGTGTACGTTATCTAGTGAATTTAGTCAATATTGTACAGTACAAGTACACTGCAATACAGTGGTCCCTTGGTTAACAATGGAACAAACCTGTACTGTACATGTACTAAATAATTACAGTACTTAAATTGTTATCTCTATTGCAGATATAGATTGTTTATACAGGTATTCAAATAAATCACTATCTTACAAGAATCCCAGCAATGTAAGTTATATTCACCCAGGTCGTTTGGGTGGCAATTTATGAGAAGAGCTTAGTCACTCTTAAGTAATGAAAAATAAACACGCAGGCCTTCAGCGCCAACTCTCAAATCTTATCTCAAATAAATAACAAACACCGTCACCTCACCCTCCCCCCCACGCTCTCTGGCTACCTCCCTCCTTGTGTTCCCAGACAAAAGATTGGTGATAACTTTATTCTTTAAGGTGTTTATTTTATATAATATCTCAGACTAAAGTTAGAAGATTATAATTTGCATTGCTGAAATCCTTGCAAGACAGCCAATAATTTGAAGATAAACATCATATATTTTGCTCAAGATATAAAAATGTAGTACATTAGTGTACAATACTGTAGTACATTTTGTCATCAATTTTTTCAACTGTATTTTTGGGTAGATTTACATAAATTTCTAAATTTATTTTCATCCATTTACATGCACACACTGTACTAAAAGAAACGCAAAAGAAATGAATGACCTTAGTGCAAAGCTGGAGTGTACATGTACTAATTTGATTATGGTACTAAAATTGTTATGTCTAGTGCAGATTATAGCATGTTTATATTCAAATTAATCAGTATCGTACAAGAATCCCAGCAATGTAAATTATATTCACCCAGGTCATTTCACTGGCTTTTTATAAGAGAGAAGTTTAGTCACTTAAGAACTGATAAATATACACGTGTTAGACCTGGGCCTGTGCCAATTGTCAAACCGCTCCCCTCCCCCCACGCCCCCTCGCTCGCATGCTCCCTCCCTCTCCCCCATCTGCCCAGCGTTGCTGGAATCCTTGTAAAACAGTGAATAATTTTAATATAAACGTCATGTATTTTGCACAAGAGATAAAAATTATTCACCTGTATCACATTACAGTAGTGATTTAAGAGTAAGAGTGTATATATACGTATATAGTATTCCACATACACGTAAGTATAAATACAAAGTTTATGTGATGACCGGACAGCGTCCATTTTGGTTAACGTCACGTTTCCAAGAACGTATCTAGGACGTTAACCATTGCATGACTGTACAGGCATTGACAAACTTGAAATTCAGGGAAAATCCACGGAGCGGCACTAGGGAATCGTATGGGACATATCTGAACAGAAGGAAGACAAAGAATACTCGCAACTTCCCTTACCCTGAAGCCAAAAGGTCATGGGAGGCTTGGATACTCAATGTATTGTGAGAATATGACTTGTCAACTACACAAGTGTTGGTTACAGACTGTGGAAGATGGTGGAGGCCAAGCCAACATTGGGCCTGGATAATACTGATGTCGAAGATCAAAGGGTGGCTTATCACCATCAACTAGTAGACTTGGGATTGGTGAAGACCTGAAGGCACCAGTAGCCAGGTGCACCTCAGCATGATGAATAAAGTTCTGTGTATTGAGTCTAGCCTCAGTGGAGTACACCTCACACCCATAATCCTGTTTGGGTCTAGCTAGCAGATTTCCTCGGTCAGCACCCTATGATGTGTGCCCCAAGTCTCTCAATAACCTGAGAACACGCTAGCAAGACTATTTGAGGTAATGAATATGTGGCTGCCAAGTAAGATAATGCCCAGGAAATGGGTCTCTGTGACACACCGCACACGGTGATTGGGATCTGGGTGAACCCAACAAAGGAGGCTGAAATGCCTGGCAACGGTCTTCAAGGGAAAAAATCAGACACCATGCTCTGTGGTTCAACGTGAAACCTAGCAATACGTAACTGAACGAAGTATTGA